TGCACTGCTTAGTAGCAAATGATCACACTACGGTAGCACAATCCGGCCATGCTGCAGTTCACAAGTGAATAACTTACTTGTTTTCAAAGTGTTGAAATTGGTGATTATTATTCAGTAGTGATTATAGTAACGCACGAAAAATAAATCCGTTGAAATGTTATGAAAAGTAAAATTCAACTTAGTTTCACTGTAAGCGAATGGTTTCAGTCACATGTAAATGGCCGATACGATACGATATCCGCCATGTCTTTGAATGCACATGAGACGCGTTTATTAACCGGATAGGTCAAGTTGCTAATTAACCAATCAAAATGCTGTATGGTGCCCATGTGTCTGAATTACCATAGCTCATTTAATATGTTAATGACAGTTCAACGACCTCATGGTAAACGCAACGCTGAAGAGATTCACCAACAAGCCATGCATGGCACAGTCCCCGTTAGTTATCAAATTTAAGATATATAGTTTTGTTTATAGTAATATAGCTGGAATATAACCATGTCAGGAATATGATTTTTTAACATTAAAATGATTGACATTTGTATCTGATCGTCAAACAAGTACTTGTCCATATTGAGAGATATTGCTCTGGAACAGCATTCAAAATCAACCATTTTGAATACATATATAACATGATGTATAACGAATATATAAAATTTGAATCAGTCAAAGCATTTAAGAGACATGGTTCTAGAAGCCCAATCATTAAAACAAAATGCCGCCAGACAGCCATTTTGAATCCGATCTGAAAAATGAATGATGTGCATCAGGAACCTGTAATGTCTAATATATGTACCAAGTTTTGAACGAAATCCATCCATAAATGCCAGAAATGCTTGATATTTGATGATTTTTTAGCAAAAAAATGACCACCATTCGGCCATTTTGAATAGGATCGTCGAACCAATATATCCGTTTATCTATGACATGATGTATAATGAATATTTAAAATTTGAACATAATCAGTCAAAGCAAGTCAGAGATATGGCACGAGAAAGACATTCATTAAAACAAAATGACCGCCAGTCGGCCATTTTGAATCTTATCTGAAGAACAAAATAATTTGCATCAAGGGCCCATAATGTCTAATGTATATACCAAGTTTGAACAAAATCCATTTGTAAACAGCCGAGAAATGCTTGATTTTTAGGATTTTTTAGCACAAAAATGGCCGTCATTTGGCCATCTTGAATCAGATCGTAAAACAAAATGATGTGCATCAAGGTCCTATAATGTCCAACGTATATACAAGGTTTGAACAAAATCCATCTGTAAACGGCTGGGAAACGCTTGATTTTGATGATTTTTAGCACAAAAATGGCTGCCATTCGGCCATCTTGAATCAGATCGTTAAACAAATTGACGTGCATATGTATAATATCATGTATGATATATGTGTGAAGTTTGATCATGAATGGTCCAGGCATTTCTAAGATACAGGACGCACGCACGCACACACACACACACGGAGGTCAAAACATAAGTCCCCAATTTCGGACTGCGTCCGAACAAGGACTAATAATGTAGTGCGATCTTTTGGCTGTAATTTCCATGGAAAAACAGGATGATTATTTTTTTAAATCAAGAAATTATTTGTTTTGGAAAGATAAACTGAAGAATATTTTAACATTGTTTACAGTGATAACAGCTCATTTTCAAAACGAAGCTTACCCATTCACGTTAGTCACGATAAAAATCATACTCTTGAATAGGGATCCAGAATTATTTAAATGTTCGAAAAATGAAGCCAAAATATTTTAAAAACCAAACGGCTGTTTAACGGCCAAGGGTGAATTTACGACAGAATCCGGTAGATTGTATAGACAGGATTCCTCTGATTTTTTGCTTGGCATCATGACCGAGTAAGAGGAATTATTGGTATAATCGGTGTATAACATCACAAAGTAAGTTGTGTTATATTATTGATATAATCAGTGTATAACATCACGAAGTAAGTTATGTCACGTCATAAATTTGACAGTTCAGAAGTTTTATTTGTTCGTTCATTATTGTGAATATATACGTTTTAGAAGTTGATGATACGAATAATAAATTACAAAAATACTCCAAAATATTACGTGGTCAATTTTTTTAAGGAGAATTTATTTGGAGTAAATAAGATCGTGAAAATATTCCTGGCTGAAACGTTTCAAATGCGTTTTATTTAACTTTTTACAATAGACATTAATATTGCAACAATAATTTATTTGTTTCTGTTTTTTAGTCTGCAGCATTTGCATTTCGAATATATTTAATTGTGAAACATAATGTCTTAGGGGTGATCTCATATTCAAACACCTGGGTCAAACCTGGGTTAACCTGGGTTTACCCGGGATGCCCTATTCAGACCTACTAGACCTAAAATATGCAAATTAGTAGTAGGTTTGAACCTAACCTCTGGATTAACTGCCCATTAACGCCCCCACTGAAAACAAACAACAGAGAACAAGGAAGACAGACCTAGGGAAACCTAGGTTTTTCTTACAATACTGTTTCAGCCTGGTTTCAGTAGGAAAAAAAATAAGATGTATACTATGGAGCTCCATGTTCATACTGAGTGTTATATTTTAAAGTGTTAAGAATTACAGCAGCGATTTTTTTTTTCTTTGCAAGTCTTGTACATGTAAATGCTAATAAAAACAAACTTGCATTTGTTTCACAAATCTATTTACATCATGTCATTTATAAGTGTGATGAAAATTATATTCATTTGTTTCTGTGATTGGTAATAATAATCAGTTTCCCACAACTTACATTTTGCTACAAGTCAATACGATTGTTATTGTTATTCAATCTATCTGGAATTAATTACAGACGTGATGGTTTGTTATATTTTGTCATTAAATGTGAATCAAGTGATATCATAAACCCTCTCTATTGTGATATATATGGTAAATTAATGTTTGAAACGGAACAGGGAAAAGATGCACTAGAATTTTAATGAGCAGCTTCTTAGGATAAATTACTTACGTTATATATATATATTTGGCATAGACAGTAAAGTATGTTTATCCATGGAGCGAACTGGTACATTTTTTCCGCAAAAAGTACGGTCAGTTTTGTGTCCATGTCAGTTCATAAATTCATAGAACACATTTTTTGGTTAAGTTTGTAAAGTCTGTGAGACTGCGAGTTATCAAAATATGATGAAAGTATTAAATCGATAATGGCAACATTGTTTTCTACGAAGACATCTGAAAACCACAGTCCCTCTATCACTGTGCCAAAACTAAAGTCGGGGCTAATGCTACGACACCGTAACATTGTCAGCTGACGGCATTGCGGGGAAATTACGGGTATTTACCGCTGCCGATATCTTACTTTTCTGTGACAAAATGCACACATTTCGAACCCCCGTTTAATTAAAAATAAACGATTATTTTAGAAAATACATCGAAGCACAGTGCCTTGAGGGACTGTGGGCGAAGTAGGCAGCGAGATGTTATTTTAAACACCGCAGAAAATCATGCACTCAACGCAGCCATCTTGGTTACCTCAATCAGAATTCCCCCTTGTCACCCAGCATGCATCGATTGCGATATCGCAACGTGCACTGCGTCGCCTTAGGCGACGGTTTTAGGTACAAGGCACTCTATGAATAAGGTATTTTCAGAGGTCAGGGTTCGTTTTTTTATAAGTAGTCTCGTCTGCAGATGAATAGCCGTAAATAATCAGCGCGAGTCCATTTAATTTAATTTTCTGTTTTGATACTTCGTGTCACTGGAAATTGAATAAGAAAAACTGAAAATAACCGATGTGCAGCAAATCGAAATACGTACGCTGCATTTGTTTTTCCGGATTTTGCGATGTTGCACTCCTGAAAGAACTGTTTGAAAATTGAACGCGCAACAGTAGTAAAGGCTTGAACACAGTAGCGTAAGTCTCAAGTGCAATTTTGTATCAACAAATGTTCGTCTTTTGATACTTATTAGCTGTCAGAGACACATATCAATTGTCCAGTCCAATGAAAAGTCTGATTCACGTCCTCTGCTCAATTTGCGACTCGAGCATAACAGTTTATCTAAACAAAACAATTTATTCAGCACGCTGTTCACCGATATATAAAAGAGTGTTTTTTTAGGCAAGGCACATGGTAAAATGACTACTGTACACCAATAAATCGACACATTTTAGAGACAACTATCTAGTCTTCAAAAAGAAATGTAAACTCTGTCAATCCTAAAAATAAACAACAGCTTGAATGAGGTGTGAATGAGATCGGTTCGAACCGCAGTTTTATGCAAATTCGTGCGGTCGTCCTGAACCGCACTGCCTATTGTTTAAACTTCCAAACCGCAAAACTGGGTTTTGTTCGGGCGGTTTAGGGCGGTTTGGGTTTTCGTAGGTTTGACCCTCATGTTTGAATACGAGATCACCCCTTAATTCCAAAAATTTGCACTGCGATCGAACTCAATAATATTCATTGCTAATTAATTAATATTCATATAGCTCATTAATATTCATGACTGAGCGGCACTCACGTTGGGCTAGCGAGATCCCTGCCAGATATATTGAAAAATATAAGAAAAAGTTAAGACAAATTTTGGTGAGAAAGTCTGGTGGTGAAAAAGTTAAATTCATTCATATGTATACCCAATAACTGGTTGGAACTGTACTGAAGTGTGTGCACACTATCACTGTCACACTATAGGCAGGCAGGCAGGCATCCTTCTTTACATCTAGTTTTTTTTCCATGACCAATTTAGACATACAAAATTTGTTTTATCCCCAAGATTATTTTCTCTCAACAGAGTTCCCGATGGTTTCCCTTAGTGCAGTACAACAGACAGGTTTAAACAAGCTTAAGATGTTTTCAAATTGTATCACTTTTCAGGGCCTTAAGAACAAGGTGGTAATTATAAGTTGTATGTCCGTCTTACTTGCTGTTTACAAAACAAACAGCAGACGAGTGAATACAATGGAGAGATATAACAGTCACACTGTAGTGTGAGGGCGCTACAGTAGTGAATAAATCCAAAGATTGACATCAAACTACTCACATCGTGCATCTGCATTGAACTGTAACTGAATTGCATTTTCTGCTGATTGCTGTAGTTGATCTTCTAGTCCTGCACTAACAATAACTTTTTCTGCCATACTTTTAAGTGACGACAATCCATCATCTGAGTCAACCTAGAAAAAAGCATCAATAATTGAAAAATACAATTATATTTATATAAAAATGATTTGATGAATTTTAAACTATCAAAGATATTGTCAACACATCATGCTATGAATGATCTCCCCAGAAACTTATTTGCAGTTTGATTCTAACATTTTTTTTATAATTCGAGTTTTATGAGCAGAACATTTTGTGAAAGTCAATGCGACTCCTCGTCTGAAACCACCACACCCACCACCACAATATTTGTCTTTTTTCCACTCTTGTAAAACTAAAGCGGTTTATAATTTTAGTCATAAGTGACATATCATATGGCTACATTTTCCAAAGTTGCTTCATAGAGTATTTCTTTAGAGTGTCAGTTTGACTCCTTTTCAGTGATTGAAAACTATCATGTCAATATTAATACTACTGGTTACTAGTATGTGTATGGTGATAGTACTGCAACGAACATCAATGTGAACAATGACCATTTGACGATATTCATTTCTGAGAAAGGCATATATAAGGTATCTTTGAGGATCAATTCACTGAATTGAACATTTAATAAAGAAAATAGGGCACAGCTTCACAATATGATTGCCAGCCTGATAACTAACCTTGAGATGCATAACTGGTCCGTTCATAAGTGTTTCACCTCCTGTCGTTGTTTTATTCACCAATGAACCAGTATTGCTATGCCCAGATGTAATTTGTGATACTACCGAAGGTACATCAAGTGCTGTCACAATTGACGAACCTGAATGTGGTAACGAGGGCATACTCGAAACAATGGCAGTGGTACTTGTTGGCGTGGAAGGTATGGATAGGCTACTGTTATTGTTATTTGCACTGCTCGATGTATGTATGTCTACAGAGTTCAATGAGTTTTCTGAGGGAGCTGAGCTATAATTTACAACACCTGAAAAAATAAATGCATATACAGTCAGTCAAAGAAAGAATAAAATTAATTATAAGCAGCAATAATTATAATATCACAAAGAACAACAACATATTTTCAGCACCGAGTAACAGCTAGGAAATTTATTACATCAATTAAATAAATAAAACATGACAGCAAGAAAAAAGCAGACAGACAGACAGAGAGACAGACACACAGAGACGACAGGAAATATTAAAGTTAAACAAAGATTAAGTAAATTTGTAGAACAGTAGCAGTGAAAGGAAATAGACGAACAGCACAGCATCGCACAAGGGTCACTACGAAACAAATTGAAAGTTTAGTGGATAGGAAAATTGATTTAGTTTAACACCTTGAAGTGGTCCATTTTCAGTAGTTCTTTGTTGTTTACTATTCAAGGAAGGAGGCAGCTGTTGTTGCTGTTGTTGTTGTTGTTGCAGTGTGGGTACTGGAGGGGTAGTTGATGATGGTGGCGGTAGTTGTTGTTGTTGTTGTTGCTGCTGCTGCTGCTGCTGCTGCTGCTGCTGCTGTTGTTGAAGATGATGGACATGTGATACTGGTTGAGGAGATCTAGGCTGAGCAGGTGTAGTTGTGGTTGATGTTGTCGTACTTGAACCTAAATGTACACAAAGTACCTGGATTCAAAATTTCACCCCTTATCATTTGTAAAACAATATACATGTACCTGCTATGTCTAACTCTTTAATTACAATCCCCAACATAAACTTCTTGTTCATATATCAGAACACATTTTTCAACAGCCTAGCAGTTATCCCCCAAAATGGTTTTATCAAATTTGTTATAATTACTGAATAATGTCCTCATGAATGGAAGATCATTTCCACAAGAAGTCATGCAGTAAGTAAAAGACTTTGGTTTAGTTTTCACATGCAAATATTGTTCTTCTGCATGACAAGTGCTACCTAGTGAAATGGGAACAAATCTGTGGACAATCATGTGAAATTAGTGGCGTAGTAAATCGCATTTCTGAAGACAAATATTTCTCATTAGACTTCAAGCATTCAAATTCACTATTATACAATAAAGATGTACAATTCACCACAATTCATACAATGTAATTTATACACCTTGTCTTGTCTGCAAAGAAATTAAGTAAAACATGATTAACTTTGTCTTTCATTAAATAAAGTCTATCTCAAGATGCCAGAAAGCAATATGAATCCACACAAAAAAGAAATCATCACTACTCAGAAGTGTAATGAAAAAGTAACAATTGTGGGAAAACAGGAATCACAGAGAAAGGATAGATAGAATGCACAGGCTGTACAACACAAAATATAACAAGTCTGTGCATTTACATTGTTGCTATTAACTATGAAATATCTATAATCCAAAAATACTTCGATTTGAGTTTATACAAAGTATTCGCAAATATATGTATCTTTGAACAAGTCAATGGGTTCCTGTTAAATAAACAAAAACAATTAACTGGATCACAACTGTGAAACAGCGTGAAGTCTATTCTAAGCTATTTATTCCAAACAGTAATCAGGATTCATAAACACAACACATACGGTGGAACACTTTGAGGGCCATTTGTAACACTGCTACTCAGCACATTTAGAACCAAATTGTTTGTACAAAAACATTATATTGATTTAATTTTGCTGCTGTCATTATTTGGCTTTTTACATGAACTTAAGATCAACTCATTCATTCTGAGATGTTGGATAAATATCACTCCCTGTTAAACAAGTGGAAATTATCATGTGTATAAACACTCATACCATTGAAAGTGCATACAGAAGCTGAAAAGCATATTTAATCTGTGTTAACACAAACGAAAACAAACTTAGAAACTAGTTTTTTAAACTGGGGATGTAAGTTAAAAAGAGGTGATACAAAGAGTTGCTCGATACATACATTACAGGGAATCAGCAAGACACAAAGTTTAAAGACTGTCAACAATTACTGAACAAGACACAGACGCAAGAGACACAATAATGCAATATATCAACATTTTCTGCTATCAGTAGACTTTTGATTAAGTACAAATCTAACAGGGCAATCCTTAATGAAAATAAAAAATGCCTGTGAAATGCCCAACAACACGTTTCCAAGTTATTGATTTTGTTGTTGAAAATGATTACTCGTATCCGAGTAAATTTGAGATATTTCTGGTGTGGTAGCCATGCCCATCTATCCTGAAAGAGTTTCCGGCTTTCGGATTTTAGGTAAAGTAAAAGTGCACCACCAAATGTCAAAATATGAGAGGAAGCCAAACTCTTGCGCTATACTTTTATAATACTATTAACGATATATATTATTTGGCCAGCACTTTTTTTGAAACATATTTATGACGGATGCAGCATTGTGTATAGCAATAGCGCGAGAATTTATGTGTTTCCAATCAGTGAGAAAAATTTTGAATGGACTTTATCCCTATACCATAATACCGCAAATTCCCAAACAAGTGCCCTCATTTATAAAAGAACAACACGGATTGAAAGACAAGTTCTGAAAAATGAAACCTTGCACAGTACTAACACTTTTAAAAGAACCAGATTCCAGACCAGCCCATGTTCACCGTGTCGGCTTTCAAATGTTTTAGGAATCTGAATAACGTTTTGTAGAGAACAAATAGTTTGTGTTATGTACGAGATAGCAATAATGTGAGACAAAAACCGAAGCTTCGTTCAAACAGGAAATTACGCAGCACTCGCAAGTTTCTGAATTGTTTGGTGTTGAATGACCACCTCACACTTTTATGATCTTTTCTTGCAATTTGATTTGCGTAATAAGTTGGCTGTCAATATTTTGCGACTAAGTAATTTTTAATGTGATGTTGTAATTATGACAATTACTTGAATACTTTTTGCCGTGTTTTACTGTCAAATGCTGTGATTCACGCACTTGTCCTCATTGTGACCAGACACGTTTACCAATTCAACAGGATATAATTTCTCTTGCATGTGGCTATCATTTAGTAACTGATTTCCAAATCATCAACTCATTATATAATTTTTATTTTATCAACATGGATCGAGATCGAGGAAAGTTAAACCAACTTAATGCTAACCATACATTTCGGCTATTTGCAGAGGTAATATGGATAATGTACTTTTAGCTACCTAGTTATATTGACATATTAAAATTTAACAAATGGTTAAGTGTTTACCTTGCAAATTACTATTTTGCTGTGCTCCTGCTGCAACTGCATAGGCTGGTCCTGGAGGTGGGGTAGCTACAGTATGATTGCTTAGTCCTGATTGAGGCACCATACTGAAATAATCACAAGATATATTCAAAATTTACTTTGTGAAACATTCATTTATAAACAAAACAGATTTGAACAAAATGGTTTGGAAAGTTTGAGGTTCAGAGCTTGAAATTAACAAATATTTAAGGTTGGCAGTCTCATGGTAATAAGGTTTTAGTGGGAGCATGCAAGAAATAAAAAAAAAAAAATATGTCACATTTCTCAATTTGTGTAGGACACCCATTTCTCTGAACACATGGTAAATGTAAAAACAAAGTGTAATTTTGTTAAATTTTTTAGAAGACCATTTGGTAGCCTAAAACAAAGACTGTGCCTCGGGATACTGATAATGTTGATATCCGATGTCTGCTTGGAGTAGTAGATTTGTGTCAACAATATTACCAACTAAGTCCATAGAGAAGTCTGGGTAATGTAGCAACTGACCTGTTTTGTTTATTATTATTAGCACTCCTATTATTTTGTGTTGTCGCAGTAATTATTGACGCCGGTGGTACAGTTGTTGTCCTCGTTGGTGTTGGACGGACAACTTGCTGAACTGGACTTGAAATTGGTGAAGCAATTGAATTACTCTTTGAGTTTTTCCTCGGCGATGACTGAAAAAACAAACACAGGTTTACTAAGCTACAGCAGAGAAACTGGGCAACCTTGGTCATCATGCTATGTCTTTCAATATTCTGTAGTGTGGAAATAAATAATGTTATGTAAAATAACATGTATATTTCAATGGAAATAGTCAATACATGTGTAAATGATCACCAGTGTGTTTTTTTAATTTTGTTTCAATGATTTATGTGGTCAGTTATCATAAACTGGCGTGTACTTGTAAAGCTGTGCAAGGTACTAGATAATAGACATGATCTATTTTGCAAAATACTTACAATATCGATTGAATCCCCTGATTTATTTCTTTTCTTTAAGACTACCGACCCAACATCATCATCTTTGGAATGGTTATTAACACTAGGACTTGGTACTGGTGAACTACTCGTAGGTGATACAGGCATTTCATCCATTAGCAATGAATCTTCATCAGGTGACGTTGCCATCGTATTTGCATTATCTTAGGAAAAACAAGTAAACTATGATAAATATTAAAAGCCCTCCACCTACTATGCTAATTTGATATGCATAGCCAGTGTGAAAAAATATTGCAGCAGTTAATGATTTGCTTTAATCAAGTATCATTCATGTTATAAGAGCCTAATGCTGTGGATAATGTATAGAGTAAAATGTTTGTGGTGCTCAATGAGCAGTGTGCCCTCTAAACCAGTATGACCACTACTTATGCAGAGATTTGCCGTGACCTATGATGATTCATTGATGCATCACTGATTGACAACACAGAAAATCGAACAATGATATAGTGATTCTGAAAAACATCTATTATAGAATTTGTAATTTTATCAAACAAGCTTTTAAGTTTCTGCCTCAAGCAACGGTGAACCTACATACATTTTCATTTTCCCTTGAAGAATTCTCTCTTCCCAGCAGCCAACAAACTGACCTAATTTAATTTTGGAGTCCTGTTTGAGGGCACACTGTCAATGAGTACTTCTGGTACAGCACTGAACAAGTTTACAAGCTTTGTCAATTGTATGTACTAATCCCACTACACTATGGAATACTGTAGAATACTTTATTTTCGCTTGTAATTTATTTTCGCTATTTTCGCTGAAGGAATGATTCCGTGAAAATAAATCCAGCGAATATACTTTTTTCCTATATTTCACATTAAACTCATCAAAAATCAGTGAAAATAAATTCCAAGCAAAACGACCAAAAAGCCCTTTCAGCGAAAATAAAGTATTCCACAGTATATGAAAGTAATTTATAATATAAAGCACATACACATTCCCATATCTTCAAGGTCAAGATCATCATAGATAAACTCATTCTCTTGAAAGTCCGGATTTTGTGATTCATCTATGTAATACTCTATATCTTCTTTGATGTTCTTTATCTGTAATGAAGATCAGACAAATTACTATTAATTTCAGCTTTGCTTGGAGCTTGTGTCATTCAAGCAACCAGATTGAATATATGCAACTGATGAAGCACAGAATAAACAAGTTTTGAATGCCAAGGCATTAGTATTCATTCTTAGCAATTCATTCAGCTCATAATTACAATGTAGTTATGTCCGCATACAAGACCCCCTCCTCATTTCAGTCTATTTTTCTGTTTCTAGGAGATGGCAACAATGTAGAAAAAGTACCATTTACTAATACTACAGAAATAGAGAATCTCATTCTGTAAGAAAATACTTTATGTCATGCCTATTTGGAAATTGTGAACAATGAAACAAAAAAAAAGACAAGAGAAAAATAGCTACCTGATCTACTTCTACATTATTATTGTCTAGCATCCTCATTAATGTTTCTAAATTCTTCACATGTGTACCATGCTTTTCTACCCACAACTGTAGTTCTTCTATTCGTTCTGTTTTCTGTGAAGGAAATATATATCAAGAACGGTGTGGTACCCAGTGTATCAGTCTTCGTTGGATGCCTCCACTATAGTAAGTGTAGTATTTAGAATTAGAGTGAGTAAAAGAAAAATTAACTCCTGTAATTGGCATGATTACATTTATTATGTTACTTCACTCAGGTTACATGCAGGTAATTGTTGAACACTGACATCACTCGATGATGAAGAACTGACGCTGTTGAACACAGTGGCTCGGAAAATATCCTGAGATGCCATTTTGCCCTTGTGTTGGATTGGTTGCTCCTAGGTTTCCGGCAATGAAAACCAATAGTATGAGGTTATAACTCTCTTAAATAATACATACGTCTTTGTCTGGCTTTTTCTTTTTTGTTGAGTTTGTCAGTGTTTCTATATCACTTTCAAAATGATCTATTTGTATATTAAGTGCTTCTATGGATTGCTGTAACCAGTGATTCGTTTCGTCTCTTTCTCGCTGTGCTGGGTCCACCTTTGTTGCTAATCCAAGGCCTTCCTTTGAGTACGCTTTGGTCTTTGTTTCTCTTTCCACCACTTTAAACCTTTCCATTTGCTACAAAATAAAACATTTTATTAAACAAAATATCAAATATCTTTTTAAATTTCCACATTATCATGCTTATTAGCTGCAGCCATACTTAATAGTATGAATTGATATGTAAAATAATAAATTTAACCACTTACCGTTTCTATAAGTTTTCTATTTTCAAGAAGTATTCTTTTGTCTTTTATATCATTTGACGCTACCCATGTTTTTATCTGATCCCTAAGCCGCTGTAAAACAGACAAATGATTTGATTACTGAAATAATGAAATGTATCCATTCAAATCATTACTTGTGTTCTATGTAGCTTATAGCAAAGCAGATATAAGACTTTTCAAAGCTAGTCATAACAAAGTTATGATGACTGACACATTTTTCATGGTATTTTATAGATCAATATATTTGAATTATAAAATATCTATTTTAGAACATTTCTAAGCTTGTCAGTGTCACTCACAATGTACACAAGACAACAGCATATATATGTTCAGGTCAACAAACTTTTACTGCACAATTTATTGTAAGCAGTAGACAAGACTAAAATTACAATAAATCTGATAAAAATATCATCAAAATATATATAATCCCTATATTAGTTGCATTCACGCACAGCTCCTTAGCACGGGCTAAGAGGTCAAATTCCTTAGCCTGTGCTAAGAAAACGTGCGTGAACGCTTAGCAGGGGCTAAGGAATGCTAAGTACGGGTTAAATCTGATACAAATTTAAGACGCGGTCTAGACCCTTAGCACGGGCTAACGAAGTATGCGCGAACGCTTAGCCCAGGGCTAAGCGCCTTCTGCGGCAACCTTTGGGTGTGAAAATTGTCCCATGTTCGTATAACGACTCTATTCCACCAGATCATTACTCCGCGCTCGCTTCCACACTGATCGGGTCGCTGTAGTAGAGCGTACAGCAGCTCCAATTGTAGACAAAATAAATTTGGGTCGTTGACTACAACATGCACTAATAAAACTCTGTATTCTGTTACGCCCGGTTGTATACTGTTTATGTGAATCCAAATAAGTTGGGTCCGTCTTCTCTCGCATTCCTGTGCACGTCGCTTCAAAATTAGAACGAAACATGTCAGCAGCAGAAATAGAAGCTTGCGCGTGTCATCCATTTTTCGTTCGTAAATAGCGGCTTACAAAAGGTCACCGACTAATCGCACCCCTTAGCCCGTGCTAACGACTGACCCTCCCTGTTTGTGGACGCAATTGGGTCTAGCCAAAATGCAAATATGCTAGACAAGCCTAAATCAGCTTAAATCTTAGCCCGTACTTTGTGTAACGTGAACACAACTATTAAGAAGCATATAACTATTCACTAGTCATCAAAATCTTCAAAGGACCACTGCCCTATCAGTACAACCTCAGCACTATCAGCTCCACCTTCCACACAATAACATGTCACTGTCATTGATGGATCTACCGGTACGTCACGACCCCCGAAACATTGCCAGGACCAATCACAAATAAGAATAGACAATGAATTTTCTCTGTTTTCCATCACAATAACCAACTTTCCCCCACACACTAATGACAAAATCTTTTATCTTCTACTGACCTCCTGTTCCAGGTCATCTTGGAAAATTAAATTAATTTATCAAGTGACCTCATTGTAACAGCGCATATGTTTAATGTGAATGAACAACATTGACAAACATGGATTGATGATTAGAATAATTGGTCGTGAAACATGAGTTGTGAAGATTATGCTGTCAACTCAAAATTACTTCCTACCCAAGACAAGATTCTGTAGTACAGTGATCAAAGGCAGCAGGAAATTGAGAAAATAGCTATATTTCTGCATTAAACTAATCAACTTTAAATAAAATTTAATCAATTTGATAACCACTGGCTACAAAGTATGAGAAACAATGATGCATCACTCACTGTGATCATAAAAAAGCAAGTAAATTGAAACTCTAAAACAAAATGTCATTAAAACGCTATTTATTTACTTACAGATTAATAGGTAAGCTGATTTTTTTTATTGAAAACAGCATGCTCGGTCACTATTTTGTATAACTGCATGTGAGTGTTTGCTGTTGTTTTTTTGGGAGGGGGCTCTTTTTATGTAAATAACCAAGTTCACAATGGCAAAATCTTTTTTGTTATGAATTATTTTAGTACTAACAAAATTAAGTGAAGCGAAATAGAAAACATGAAAATATAAAACAAGCAAGCAAATTTTAAGTAGAATGTTTACCTGAAGCTTCTTGATTTCTTTTTTGAGATCTGCTTCATATTTCTCTTTTTGGTTGGTGTTTGTCGCATGTTGCACCTGCAGTAAGAGATAAAAACATACAATATGATTTCCATGCACTAAGAAAGTGTGTTACAGTTTAAAACTTTGTCATCACTGTAATTGTGGTCTATATTAAATCACACACAAATCATCACTAACAAGGGCGTCACATTGATTTTGGCACAAAGATGTACATGAACTACCAGTGTTCTCCCCAGGATGTAAACAGCGTGGCGGTCCCGCCACAGTGCTTCGATTTGCCGCCACACCGGTCTGACACCGCCACGGTGATTAGCAAGACCGCCACAGTGCTTCTTTTCATTGGGGGATCTCGTCATGCTGGTCGGCCTGACCGGCACTCAAAATTAGCGACCACCGCGGAAACGCTTCCGACTGTTGTCATATTGTTATTATACTTATGTACCGACCGACATGCATCCTGCCAGTCGTGGATAATAATTTGTAAACAATAGACATAGTCGTGTGATGTGGTAGCGGCTTTGAACAATACAAGTCAATTTTGTAAAATTAGCACCTCTTTGTTTGTAAGTAAATACTTTCTGACGATAGACGCAGTCTTTAGTTTGAAAGCTAAAATTCTTTCAAAATCAATTCCATCCGATATAACATGGGCAAATCGGAGTTCACGATCAGTTTACGCTACTCAAGAAAAAAACGTGTTTATTGCGTTATTGGGTAAAATACATTTGAACTGTTATCATCGTGAATTATGTAAAAACTCTTCTTTCAATACTTTTTTTACCTTTAAA